TGTGGTCATTTCTCTTCATTTTGAACTATGATATTTTAATTTTGATTACTGGTCTGTACAGCAAAATCACTGACTGTGTTCTGGACTTTTGAAAACATTCCCATTATAATTAAATTGTGAAAATTTTGTCATTTATTCACCATCACGACGTTCAAAAACCATTAGGTACAACATAAACCAGTGTAATACAATTCCTGAATGAATGACTGTTAACAGCCAGTTATTAATCAAAAACATGCAGCATGATCAGTGTATTCCGATGACTCTAATGAACCAGTTCTTTTTAGTGAATCATAACGATGTTCCAAACCATTAAAACATTTGTTCGTCTTCAAACACAAATGAAACCCAATAAATTACTGTTCATAAAAATACTGTAAAATGTATCGATATGAATCGTGCACTTCAATTCAGGTTTTCTCTTAGAAGTCTTTTAAAATAAAACCAGTTTTAAATAGAAACGTTGAATTCAATTGAAATACATTAAAGGGGAAATCAGATGCCCATTTTCCACAAGTTGGTATGATTCTTTAGGGTCTGCATGAAATATCTGCAACATACTTTGGTTAAAATTCCTCAGTGGTCGTTTAAAACAATACCCTTTTTACCTTGTCAAAAACAGCTCTGTTCACAGCGGCCCGTTTCGGCGCATGTCTCTTTAAATGATACTGCTCACCCTAAACCTCTCTTCTATTTTTTTTGGCGCATTACCATGAAAAACTAATCCACTGCATCCTCTTATGTTCACTTTTACATCCAACCTCAAAACACCTGCATTGCTTACGAGACTGTTGTCGCTACAGCTGCTCGAGCATGGAGAAAATAGTGGACAGTGTACAACTGGCTGAGGGCAGAAATATGCTAATATGGGAAAGTCCAACAGCGGCCGTGGGCGGGGCCTGAGCATTATGACATCATACTGCTCAGAAAATCAAAACGGCTGGATAATTGAGAATGTTTAGGTTTTGGGGGGATTAAAAAAAGGGGTGAATGTATTTTTATCATTGTGGAGTGGTTGTGTCTACATACTGCTAAGACACATTTATTTGCAAACACCATGTAAAAGTGAATTTTGCATCCAATGTCCTTTAAAGGAATGCTGCAATTTTTGCAATTACCGGTAGATATTTGACAGCCATGTTTGATTACTTATTTGATCAATACACAGCCTTAATATTATTTAGTTTATTAACTGTCATCTGACATCACCAGCTCAGTTATTGCAGTGGAAAGCAAGGTCAAGTCAAGTGAGTCGTATTGTATCATATAGTACTATTACCAAACAAGACGTCAAGGTTTTGCTGGTTAGTATGGACCAGTTCACATTCAAATATACCTGTGTAATCTGACAAAGTAATGACAAAGTTTTGCAAGCAATTGTAGTATAATAGACATTTTATCAGTGGCATATTTATGTATTTTAACTATTTTAGCAAAAAAAAAATCCCAGATAATATCACTGATCCGTCTGGATGGCTTGCAGCTGAAGCTCCATTGTATCATATAGTACTATTACCAAACAAGACGTCAAGGTTTTGCTGGTTAGTATGGACCAGTTCACATTCAAATATACCTGTGTAATCTGACAAAGTAATGACAAAGTTTTGCAAGCAATTGTAGTATAATAGACATTTTATCAGTGGCATATTTATGTATTTGAACTATTTTAGCAAAAAAAAAATCCCAGATAATATCACTGATCCGTCTGGATGGCTTGCAGCTGAAGCTCAGCCAGAGGCAGCAGCATCAATATTAGCATGCCAATTAGATAAGAATCCCTTTCATAAGAACAACTGTGAATAATTGAAATGATAAATGAATCATCAAAGTGTTAATTGGCTTAAGAAGAAGCGAGTTAACAACATATGGATGGACTGTGTTTCCAGACTATTGCTAACTCATTCACTCTATAGTCTTAAGTAAACTTCAAATGTTTTGTTGTACCATCGTGGTGATTAATTCAAATGTTTTGTTGTACCATAGCAGCAATGAATTGAAAGTTTTTTGTTTATTTATATTCCGTCTGTAGAGATTTCTGGTGCACCGGTTTGTTTGCGATCAGGCGAGAAACCTAGGACTATTTCACAAAAGTAGTTTTTGCAAAAAATTAAATATGCTGGAATTATTTTAATGATAGAAATTAAATTGGAGGTATGTGTTTTTGTGTGATCCAAGGATTCCAATGTCATAAGACACTTGAGTAAGTGACAAGTAGTTATGGTGACTTTTGTGCATTTTTTTTATTGATCACTGCCACATTTGGCCGTTCAGGCCGAGTCCTTTTGCCTTAGATCTCAGTAAAGGTACTAAAATTCGACCATGTTCAGAGAACACCATTTTAGCAATGTCAAATAATTTACCACAGAAATATTTAATTTATACCTTCATAACTGTTATAATGCTACCTATTGGCCAATCTCCATAAAAGTTGGTGTGCTTGTTTAGAATCATATGTTGCATATTCTTACCTAATTTCACAAAGTTCTGAGGTTTCTTTTAGAATGTATAGGCTTTTTGGTAAACGATTCTAGAGCGCTAGCGCCACCCTGGAGGCTAATCTCCACTCTGCATGCCCCACACATGCAGGGGTGTATTTCATCTGTGGCACAACCCCAGGGCACTTGCAGCAGCTGCTAAGCTAATACCAGTTCTCTGATATATAACCAGTGCCTGTGGGTTTTAACGTTGGAGAGAATGTGAAAATCGAAACAGTTTATGTGCGAGAGAAACAGAAAGGTGGCCTGAAACCTCTGCAGCTATTGCATCTCCATTGAGCCTAAAGTGCTTCCCTAACAACAACAACAAAAATGACTTGCTGTTTTAAAACATGTAGATTCTAGAATCGCTAATCAGCTTTGTGCTAGAATGTGAGTGAAAATATATCGGTGTAACAATCTGAATTTCCCAAGACATCTAGCGAAAGCGATATCTCGTTTTTCTGTCTGGAGTTTCATTATTAATTTCAAAGTCTGCTTGATCATGGCCCATGTCACCCCTAACTTTGAGTATCGATGTGATGTATCCAGGCTTGCACTGCTTTTGCAGAAAGAGAAGTTGCAAGATCAGTCAAGAGTGTGCTGGGAATAAACGGAGCAGGAGAAAACAGATAGATCGCTGCAGCGATTCTCATCAACTCTCAGGATTAGTGAGAGGGCGAATGTGTTACCGAAACCACTGAACGTGTAGAAAAATGGCACTCAGCTCGGAGGAAAACCATTGGGTTCGGGGGGAGGTGAGGAAGAGAGTTAGAGGAAGCGAAGGATCGGTGTCAGCCCATCAGTTTGGAGATACATTATTGAAGACTACAGTTGAGCACATGTAGTCAGTCCTCTATGGATCCTGTTTATACCACAATGTATCTGCTGCAAGGTGCAGGATTAATGTGAGCGGTGGCTGGGAGTTTGGAAATAGATGGTGCAGTGGAGATGAAGGTGTGCGTTAGAGAGGAACGAAGCGTGTGATTCATAATGTAGTGTATAGCAGGTTCTGTCTAGAATGGTTCAGGATACATTCAATCCGTATATTGATTGGAAAACAACAAGTGAGTGACATGAAACCAGACTAAACTGTGACTGAAAATGTAAGGATGCAATTGCGGGAAGGAAGACGTTATTAAATATAGGGTACTATCATCGCCCACCTTGATTAAATTAAAATGCGTTTGTAATTAGGTTCTGAGGAACAGACTGTGAGAGAAAGAAAAATGTGGATGCCATGGTTTGGGTGTAGTTGGCGGGGAGGTGGGGAGACTGGGTGGGTAATAAACCAGAGTGGTTGTGTTAAGGGATTGCAAATTCAAAGTGCTCTGTGAAACGGAGAAGGAAAATGAGCCACACACATCTATGACTCTCTCTCTCACACACACACACACACACACCTTTCTAGCTCTCTTTCTCTCACGGTTTCTCTCTCTCTCACACGCACATGCATACACACTCTCTCTCTGTTTCTCAGTCTCCTGCTGCATCCAACGAACACAACACATTCACTTACTGCCGTGACTTCGTTTATCATTTCTTTTGATTCCGTACTGGATTTTATACCGATCAGCCACAAATATATATCGCGCTAATCAGGTTTCACTCCGACTTCACCGTCTCGCATCGCGTAACGACGCGCGCAGATTCCAGCGGATCGTCTGTAACGCGGCGCTTTCCATAAACAAACATGTAACGTTCGTTTCTGTGCTCTATTCGTTCCGGGTTCTGGAGAAGCGTGAGTATAAGACTACAGCACGAAAAACTCTTGAGACTACGACAGATTGTTATTGTTTTAGCGCTCCCGCTCGTTAACGTTATTTCGCGTAAATGTACTCTGTTGTTACATTTAAAACCGCACCTTTAGACTGTTTGTAACGTCACGTTAACTTGTAACGCCAATTGCATTCGCGAGCTTAATGTCGGCTATTTAAAACTTTGGTGAACCTCTGAAACAGTACATTTTATAAGCGTCCATGTAAACACTCGCTAGCGTGCGCAATAGTTCAATATGCGGACCTTGTTAACGCGACGCTAATAGTTTCAGTTTGAATCTCTTCTCCGCAGATTTATTACGTTAATTAGAAAAAAATCTAAACCACATGCCTTTGAATCGTCATCGATGTTGTGTTTATGTTTTTGTCTTAAACGCATCCAAGTTGAACATGTAAAAGTGTATTTTAGTGCATCTAAAGGTATATTAAATATCTATAGGAGATCGGGGTAACTGACAGTGCAGCATGCACGTGAGATTTTGAATGAATAATTTCAGCACTGAAGGAGGCTGAAATTTACACTGTCCAAAATATTTTTTAATGAAAGTAAAATTCTTGTCAAAAACCTCCAGCTTGGCCTTTCATGTAAAACAACATCAAGAACATAAACTGTGTTGGCACACACTCATGCCCACTATGGCCAAACTAGCCTGGCAGCATCACAGCAGAGGACGACACTTGGTATCAACTTCCTACTTTGTTTTGGCTACCCTTACTATACTGTTCTCCTGGTCCTGCCCGGTTCTAGGCAAGAAGAAACTCTACATCGGAGCCCTGTTCCCAATGAGCGGCGGATGGCCGGGTGGCCAAGCTTGTCTCCCTGCTGCCCAAATGGCCCTGGATCTGGTGAACAAGAGAACGGATATTCTTCCGGATTATGAGCTTGAATTAATCTACTATGACAGTATGGTAAGTGAGCACTGCATGTGAGCCTCTTTAATTACTTTCCATTATGTGAACCGTTTGATAGCATGCAATTGAGTGTGCACCGAACTAGTCATTCCATAAGAGTGTTTACTTGCTGTTGGTGTTATTTATTCAAACAGTGTGGAGTGTCATTATCAGTGGCTTGCTGAAGATTTGTGTTCACAGGAGATTTCTGAGCAAATTTACATTTTACTACAGCAGATTAGGTCAGCTGTAGAATGCTATTAAGGGTTTGGTGGATCCTAATGAACATAATGTTCTTTAAATGGGAATTTGTACTTGATTCAGTGTGACTTCATTAAAGCTGCACAGAGGAATGTTTTGACACCATCATATTAGTTATGCTGTCACCTAAGGTTTGCTGGCAAAAATCTATTCATAGCAGCCCAATATACTTTCCGCTTTCCTTGTTCGTATCTTTCCATTTGCTTCACTCTCCCTCTACTTCTCTCCATCTTTCCCACCTGCGTCCCTCCTCCCCCGCACAAGAGATGCCAATGCATACTGCCTCTCGCACACATATGCAGAGTGCAAGCCAGCGTTTTAGACAGAAAAGACATACAGATACATGCAGAGTGTAAACAGTTAATTCCCTGTGACTGTTCAGTGTTGCTAAAAGCTTCTCCATGATTGGTCGGAACGGGTCTGCATTGGAACCCTGCTTCAAAGATGCAGGAGAAGGAGGAAAGACTGGGGGTGGAGGTTGGCATGACAACAGTTACCAAGACCACTGCTGTTCAAACAAACACATAAGGCCACAAATTGCTCTGACAAAAGAGAGAAAAAAGCACGGCCATTTATGATTATTGCATAAACAGAGGCAGATGGATAAATGGGAGAAATTAGGCGGCTGGTGTGAGACTATAGGCGTATGAAATCCCGTTCTTCCGTCTGCACTCGGACATATTGAGAGCATCGTTTCTGATCCCCAGCGGTAGGTGGATGTACTCAGGACCCCTGCGGATCCGAATGAATACATGCACACAGAAACACTCTCATGCAGAGAGCCGCGTCTGATTAGGATTCAGCACCACGGACAGCTACATTTAGAGAGCAGGAAAGTGCTGTGTCATCAGGAGGTATAAGGCGAACTGGAACATTTCATCTGAGTTGGGTTTTAGGTATTCAGACCCAGATGTTCCCTCCTGAGCCACAGAAAGAACAGTCTCATTAAACCTGCACCCAGTGTAGTTCTGGGCCTTTCTTGATTGGACCGGAGGACGGTGCTCTCCGCAGGGTGACGGGGATGGTACGAGGGGGGCATGCTTATTAGTATGGACTGAACCTGTAGAGTAGTGAACAGAAGCTACAACAAATATATTTTTACATTCCCTTTACTCCAATAGTAAAAGAAAGAAGAAAAACATCATCTGTGAAAAGGGGCCATAGTGTTCATTTTGTCAGTTGTTTTTTTATTTAGTTTGGGCCTGCCTCAAATGCCCTTTTTAGTTTTTATCATATGTGACCCTGGAGCACAAAACCAGTCTTAAGTCGCTAGGGTATATTAGTAACAATTTGTAGCAATAAAAATGATTGATTATTCTTTTATGCCAAAAATCATTAGGACATTAAGTAAAGATCATGTTCCATAAAGATATTTTGTAAATTTCCTACTGTAAATGTATCAAAACTTCATTTTTGATTAGTAATATGCATTGCTAAGAACTTCATTTGGACAACTTTAAAAGCGATTTTCTCAATATTTTGATTTTTTTGCGCCCTCAGATTCCAGATTTTCAAATAGTTGTATCTCGGCCAAATATTGTCCTATCCTAACAAACCACACATCAATGCAACTCTGAAAATCCTAATATTCATTTCAATAATTCCAAAAGATATTCTTGTTTTCCTATTAAAACAACAACAACAACAAAAAATACTTTATATTGTGGCACCAAGGTTGAGCAGAATATCACGATGGATATCACCAACTCCAACATTTTGTCAAGGATTTCAGTTCATCACAGTTCATCACTTTTTCCACAGTGTAGAGAGACCATGCGCATGGTTGCTAGATTGAAAGTAAACGCTGGGCAGAAAATTTGGATAAAAGCTCTGATGGGGGGATTTAAATTCTTGACATCTGGCAACCTCAAGCATGAAAACTCGCAGAGGTCTAAATTTTTTCTTCTCTTTTATGTTGAAGAAAATATAAAGAGATTTTGTATATAGAGAGTTTTTCATTTTTAATCTACAGTATATTTTACTTCGACTTTGTTCTTCAATGATATTGCATGTTGAGATAGTTACAGTTACTGTTTAATGATGTCGGTGTCGTCTCATTCATCGTCAATGAATATTTTTTTTTATCATGTATCGTGGTTTTTGTTAACGAAAGTAACACTAGTGTGAAATATGAGACCATGCGCATGGTTGCTAGATTGAAAGTAAACGCTGGGCAGAAAATGTCCTTTTTGGATAAAAGCTCTGATGGGGGGATTTAAATTCTTGACATCTGGCAACCTCAAGCATGAAAACTCGCAGAGGTCTAAATTTTTTCTTCTCTTTTATGTTGAAGAAAATATAAAGAGATTTTGTATATAGAGAGTTTTTCATTTTTAATCTACAGTATATTTTACTTCGACTTTGTTCTTCAATGATATTGCATGTTGAGATAGTTACAGTTACTGTTTAATGATGTCGGTGTCGTCTCATTCATCGTCAATGAATATTTTTTTTTATCATGTATCGTGGTTTTTGTTAACGAAAGTAACACTAGTGTGAAATAGGGTGGACATTACTGGCATTACATGTTACTCATAGTAACATGCATTGGATTCAAAGTACACATTTTATTGGTTCATGCATTCCCTAGGAATCAAACCCATGACTTTGTGCTGCTGTGTAAGCTGCAGGAATGCTATATTGTTTAATTTTATGCAAATATTGTAAGTATCCTGATCATTTTATGTGCTTTTAATTAGGCAATTAAGTTTCCTAAAGAGTGTGTCATTAAACTAGTTTTTCAATCCTTTCTTGTCCTCCAGCTCACAAGAATGAGTGTTCAAAATCAGAGACAAAATGTTTTAATTTGTTAAACTTTATTCATATTTAGTGAATTGAGTAAAGCATCCCTAGTCCCTATATGCTATTATACTAGTATTTGCTGCACTTCTATTCTACAGCACCATGGCAAAGAAAAATGTTTTAGCTCACTGGGAAACTGTCTTTCTGTTGTGTTGTCTTCACTGTGACTGCATGCAGAAACAAACATACAGACCAGCAGCGAGTGTGGCACTGTTTAAAAACGTAATGAATATTATAATTCACTTCTTTTTATGAATCGGTCAAAAAGACTAATGAAATCAGATACAAGTTTGCATCAGTCTAATAAACTGAATCTGCTGAATCCATCAGAGCAGTTAACATTTGACTGACTCACTAATCGGATGTTTGGATAATGTTAATTAATAATTATACACTATCGTAAGATATTCATAAGTCTCTTCTGCTTACTAAGACTGCATTTATTTGATTAAAAAAATTTAATTTGTTAAATATTATTACAATTTAAAATAGCTGTTTTCTATTTGAATATATTATAAAATGTAATTTATTTCTGCAATTTAAAGCTGAATTTTCAGCATAATTACTCCAATCTTCAGTGTCACAATGATCCATCAGAAATCATGCTGATTTGCTGTTCAAGAAACATTTCTGATTATTATCAATGTTGAAAACAGTTGTGCTGCTTAATATTTTAGCAGGAACTGATACATTTTTCAGGATTCTTGGATGAATATAAAGTTTAAAAGAACAGCATTTATTTGAAATAGAAATCTTTTGTAACATTATAAAAGTCTTTACTGCCACTTTTGATTAATTTAATGTCTATTAATGCTAATTAGATGAAAAATTATATTAGTATAATTTAAAGATCACAAAATTGTTTTGTAGTAACAATTTGTATTTTAATTAAATAAATGTGTTTTGTTTTCTGTGTAGTTAGAACCTTATATGATCAGTCAAATCTATCATTAAATAAGGAAATGTTCCTCCTATCTTCAGGATAATCTGTATTCTGTTTTTTTTTTTTTTTTTTCAGAAAAAATAGAATTCAGTTTTTGCAGTTGTTTTGATTTGGTGGAACCCAGGTGCTTTAAAAGAGCGAGGCTCACGCATGGCTTCCCTCAGGATTGGAAAGTCAAAGCAGGGAGGAGATTTAAAGCCCAAACAAAGTCTCCGTTCTGGGGATACGATTCTGCTGAAGACCCCCCGGGAGTCTGGAGAGAGTCTGCTCAGGACTCTGGAGGACATGCCTGAAAACATTATGTACAATCATGCTCATTTTATTTACTTCATTAAAAAGAATGTGAATGCATGTGTCCACAATAGAGACAGCTGATGAAACTCTCTCACATAACTGTGTGGAGTGTCACATTAATTTCATGCTTTTCATAGGAAATCATTGTCATTCTGAAAAGAAAAGCAGTTTTACGCTAAAATGCTTCTTTTGTTGCGATTGAAATAATTGGAGTAATTTAGCAGGATGTTTAGAAGAAATTAAAAGCATCGGGAGAGACAGAAATAGAGATGTGTCGGGATAAGGAAGCAAGATTAGACTCCAATAAGTAAAGAGCAGTCAGGGTTCTGCCAATTGAATTTACGTGATTGCACCAATCAAGCCTTGAATCATGTTAAACTCATGTTTGTTTTTATTCTTTTTAGCTTTTGCTCCTGTTTAAGCTTTTCTTTGTTCCCAAAACAACAAAAGCCCAGCTTTAGAAATGCTGGCTGTGCTCAAGGCCACTGGCTGCAACTCGGTTTGCTCTCAACACATGATCAATTGTGGCTTTATCCTACTATTATCATTTAAATGAGATATTGATTTTTCATTGACAGTAATTTTAAGACAAATGGGGGGAGGTGGGGATGCTGATTGTCAGCGTTGGGTTAAAGACTGATGAGAATCCACGTTTAGCAATCAAACATTGTTTTTTTGGTCTATGTGTGAGCAAATGCATGTGTCCTTGGAGGCTGTTTTCTGTAAAGTATGCATTTATTGCTTTATCTGTGTCTGCTCCTTTTTGTTTTGCTTTTCCATGCAGATTTATCTCTACTTAAGTGATTCAGTATGAAATGAAGTCTCTTTCCATATACTGTAGCAGTGAATACAGTGAATTTTTTATTAATTTTTTTGTCGAGGTGTGCAGTTTTGAGCATGGAGTGACAGGATGCCTCATGAATAGTGACAGCTGTGCTTCAAATCTGAATATAGATTATGTATTTAAAAGTGTTTTTCTCTCTGCTTTCAGTGTGATCCCGGTGAGGCCACAAAGCTGCTGTATGACCTGCTGTACACGGAGCCCATAAAGATCGTCCTGATGCCAGGTTGCAGCTCTGTATCCACACTGGTGGCCGAAGCTGCGCGCATGTGGAACCTCATAGTGGTGAGTTCTCCTCTTCATCAGGTTCACAGATGAGATGTCAATGCAAGGATGTTGAGGAAAAACTCAAGGTTTATGAAAGTGATGACAAAATGTTATTTTTCTGCAACAAACATTGGATTGTTCAGGCAACCACAAAAAAATTTAGACGGGGGAGTGAAAGCAATTTGACTTGACATAGTTTATACAGTACATTTAGGTACTGTAGAAATTAGGTGATTCAGCCTAGCAGTTAAATATCACGGATCCAAAAAGTTATAGGTTTAATCCCAAAAAGATGAGTATAAACAGATGTGAATGCACAGATTTCAACAGGGATTGTTTGTTGCAAGGATGTAGAGAAAATACACAAGAGTTGAAAGTGAAATTAATTATAGCGTGTCCCACTTTCGTTTGTTTTGGGAAATGCCAGTTTAAGAGTTTCTTTTAATTTAGAATACATGTTTGTTCATTATTTGAACTCTTGGAGATTATGTGAATGCATGCATAAATGTATAAAATTATGCATTATTGTGAAAAATGAAAATGAATGATTTCTTAAATGAATGAATGATTTTTTAAAATCTCATCTTATTGAACTTAAGCCAATCACTGACTTACGATCCACAGCGATTCATTAAGTTGAGTTTGTCAGTCCTTCTGAGGTAAAGAGGCCGATCTGACAGGATTTATATGAATTATATGTACTCAACAGAGGGCAGAATTAATTACAATACTTAAAAAACACATATTATGTGTTTAGAATTAATCACACTAAATTGACATGATAATTTGACACAGATTTTTTTTTTTAAAAACATTAAAGAGGTGAACATACCCGTATTCACCAGCATTTAGTTTTTATGGTTTCTGTATGATTCTGTACATCACAAACTGAACTCTCCAACAGGTCTAATCACTGAAAAGGTTATACCACAGTGAAGATAAGCTATCTAAATGCATTCCCATTTCAGAACATGCGGCACTTCGTTCAAATACCCGAAATCGGTGAAATGGCTTCTAGACATTTTGGATCAGATATTTATGTCATTTTATTTTGCTTTTGGCTTGTCTTTGAAGTGCACTCCCACTGCCTCGTTTTCCATTTTTCTTTTCTTTTTTTAAATCAGTCTCTTTATTTTTCTTGCTCTGCTCTAATTTTATATCTGTTGAGAGCTTTTTCTCTTCACATATGAGTTTTGACCTATATATCCCCCTGCTGGCCTTGAAACCCACCCCCTCAGCAGACCTGTCACTCAACCGCATCTCACCGCATCTGTGAATGACATTGAGTTATTGGCAAAATATTTATAAACCCTCTGCTGTCATCTGATTTGACTGCTTGATTAACATAAAACAGGACATTTTAAACCTCTTTTTTCTTTCATTTTACACCTGTGTTTCGGATTTTAACTTTTTATCACAGCTTTGCACACTTGTCTCACACACTACATCCCCCGATGTTAAATAAAGCTGTTCCGAGTGAACTGTGATCAACCTAACAGGAGATAATTTAGTCCCTTGGGTACTGGTTTTCCTACAGGTGATTTTATCGCACATTTTTCTTTACTAGCTTGTTTCTAATTTTCCTTCGAAGGTCTCAGTGTCTGTACAGTGGGTATGTGTGAATGTAATTCTAGTGCTTATTTCTCATGAACCATTGATATTTGCTTGCAGTTATCCTATGGATCCAGTTCACCAGCACTCTCCAACCGTCAGCGTTTCCCCACCTTCTTCCGCACACACCCCTCAGCCACATTGCACAACCCCACCCGCGTGCAGCTCTTCCAGAAGTGGAAGTGGACCAAGATCGCCACCATCCAGCAGACCACCGAAGTCTTCACCTCTGTGAGTGAGATGTTTACAAGTACAGATGTTTTAAAATCAGTAATCATGCACCGAAAAGCTTGCGGACTGTTGCACAACCAGTAGAAATTCATTGTCTTTTGATCAGTGTTCAGGAGGAGATGTAACACCATGTCCTAACCAGCTGCGTATTGTGTTGGTCACATGTTTATTGTCCCTTGTGTTGGGTAGCCCCGCCCACACTTAAACCCCATTGGTCCAAAGTCCTGCTCCACATATGTATGCATAAAGTTATGCAAGTGTTATTAAAGCATGAAATGACATTCAAAACCCAGTTAACTTCTATAATGTGACTAATTTTAAATGTAAGTGTATTTCCAAGTGAATCAGCAGATTCAGTGAGGACAAAAATGTAGGGCATGATTTTATTTCTTCCGATGCAAATTCACTGGATCATGACAGGTCGGCATTTCATTTCAGAGTTTGCACTTAGTATTGTGGTTGAAAAAATAGGCAGCCTTTATGATGTCAGCAAAAAATAGAAAATTGTTTCAGAGCTGGATTATTGCATTTTAATGTTACATTATGACAACATTTTCTTCTTTGGAAACGATTCCCCGTTTCTTATTGCAAAATCCATTTACATCCATTTATGACTTTTAAATCGTGAATTGTTTTAGTTGGCCAATAATCAATCGAAAATGCTAAAACAGTTGTAGGAATCATAATGTAGTACTGTACAATATATAAAATAAGCACATATTAAATAAATGTAATTGTTGCATTTAAAGGGCACCTATTATGCCCTTTTTTTTTTACAAGTCTCAGTTGTCCCCAGAATGTGTCTGTGAAGTTTCAGCTCCCCTTTTCCAGAATAGGGCTGACCCTTTACAACTTGTGCCTCGGATAACATCTGTTTGGTTTAGATTATCATGTGTTTTTTCGTGCCGAAAGTGTATTTGCATGCGTTTTAAAGCCATATCAGTGCAAACTTCTGATAAAGGGTTTTCTGAGCGCACACAGAAAGTGGCTGTCACACAGAATGTGAGTACTAAACTAAGTTCTCTTTCATGTCTTATTGTGCTTAAACTGACAAATACACACAAGTTTATGTCAAACACACACATAAGTTACATAAACACAGTCGGTTATGTCTGTGAACATAAACAGCTGGGAAAGAAATCGCATGTTTATAGTAGATCTGTATATTAAGTAACAGCAGCGTAATATATAGTACCTACTGCTGTCTACACTGTTATATGACCCAAACAATAAAATAAAAACAGAAAATCACTCACTGCTCTTGACTGAATAACTTCTGTAGCTTTAATAAGAAGACGTTACTTACTTGAATGCTGCTTTTAAATGCTCTAGCGTGAAGATAAACATGGTGGATGGTGTGCAGCTCACACTGCTTATGATTTATGGGGATTAAAAAAAATTAGTGGGAGAATTTTTGTCATTATAGGGTGGTTGTGTACACACTGCCAACACATATGTATGTTCAAACACCATGTAAAACTAAATTTTGCATAATAGGTGACCTTTAATATTGACAGTGGAGCAATGTTCTTGAGCGCCATGGGTGCATACACACTCTGTTTCATCTGTAACTCCCTGAAATTTTTTTCAAACAGCTTTTCAAGGCTTCTGATCATATTTTCACAGCTGCCACCTTATTTATATGACCTCAACTGAAATAAAATGCTTTCATTGCATGGAAACTTTTGCATTATTTTCTCTAAGATAAAACGTTTTACTTGTATCATTGTTCAATTGGTGAATTTTTGGGCAGAAAACATTTAAGTTTAAAGTCAGTTGATATTGCTTCTCTCTTTATAATCATACTGTATGTAGCCTTGAGCTGGTGTAGTTTGCCTTCTTTTTCCTGACTAAGATTAGGGGAAGTAGTCACTAATTTTTTTTTAATTTTTATAATTTAGCAGTCGTTTATCCAAAGCAACATACAGATGAGGTAATGATGCAATGACTTACAAATTTTATCTCTTAAAACTCTTCTTAGATAATCAAAATAACATTTAAACATAAATAACATACATAAAAAAAATTTATTTCAGTGAAAATAGTTTCTTCATGCCTTAAAATGGCTTGAATATAACTCTTCACCCTTATCTCATTTAGTATAGGCAAATTAATATGAAAATGCAAATTAGTCCCCGCCTCCATTTAGTCGCATCAGCTTGGACCTACTCCACTTGCACTCGGTTACCTAAAGTAATAAACGCTACACAATGGCAAGTGGCAATATTAGATTAATTCAGTCATATATGTTTGAACCAAAAACTGATTTCTTTAAAGACCACAGGGGGGCTTTAAAGAATCCTATACATGCATATAAACAAATTGAGTGGTTGTTAAATGAACCAAATATTTTTGTAATTGATTCAGATCAATTAAATTGTGTATCAAATCAAATTAAATCATTCTGAATGAGCAAAAAACACTTTTTGAATCAAATTGAAACCCAACACACATTGAAACCGCCCTACTTCTGGCTAACGTGATCTGATTATAGCATTTTCTTTTTACAAGAAAAGATCTATTTTGATTTAGGTTAACATCTTGGCTAGATTTTATCGCATTACACACAGTATTTTTTCTTCTAGTGTGGACAGACACCATCCTTGTAAAACACTATGCAGTGAATGCCTGATATCTAGATACAGTATCTAGATATATAGTCATGCAACTCAGACAGGCTATATTTTACGTAAATGAGGGTTTGAGAAGCACTTGCTTTACTTCAGGGTATAGCATGTTGTTTTCTATGCTATCTATGTAGGTAAAATTAATCTGTGTGCTGTAGAAGACAACATATGGGATGTGGGATTGTGGGCTGTAGCTCTGCTCAGTTTCTTTGTTTGCTCCTGCAGCCTGAGGTTATACAGACTGTATTAAAATTTACACGCTTGTTTTATTGGTACACGCAGGACGGTAAACAGTAAACAAGTCCCAACAAATGAAATGAAATCTGCCAGTCTCTTTCTAATTTTCTTTCTTCCCTCATTTCTTTCTCCATGCTTGTCTTATCTCTGCCTTTTTGCCGCAATAATATACTTTCCCGTCTCTTGCTTTTTCACCTCCCGTCTATCTGCAGATGTTTTTCTCATCTCTATGCTCTTTACTTTCCCTCGCTCTCTTTCTCTGTTCTCCTTTAATCTCGTTCTTTCTCTCTCTTTCTCAGACTCTGGATGATCTAGAGCAGAGGGTGAAGGAGGCAGGCATTGAGATCAGCGTGAGGCAAAGTTTCCTCACGGATCCTGCTGTGGCCGTCAAGAACCTCAAGGTGCTTTCACTTTTACTAATTTCGTTTATGACCTCACTGCCATGGCGGAGTACAGGTGTTGCTGTCAGTGCCGCGTTAGAGAAATCAGATCAGCACCGTTCTCAACAACATCTCACGATTCTCAGACAGATGCCAAATACAAATAGTGTGTCTGAAAGACACTTAATATTCAATAATATCATCAGTTTGAGGGCACTTAGACTGCTGGATGAGAACAAAACTTGAACTGAATTAAGCTGAATAATGACAATGTTGCCTTCTGCTTCATAGCTGAATTGAATTTGTTCATAATTGATTGAACTGAATTGAATCAACATTGAACTGGCCCTACTGTCTTCAGTAGAACCTCTTATCATTGAATTAAACTTTAAAATTCAATTAAAATTGAATGAAACCTCACAAAAACAAGTCCAAGGTTACACTTTACCAAAAATCAGATTAATAAAAACTAAAATATATATGAATGCATGATTAGGTTATATTTTTAAGCCTGTTTGTAAGATTGCTTACAGATGTTTAATTTTTATTTAAATTTTTTGTAATTTCTATTATTTTCTAGTATTACAGTATTATAGTATTATGATAATACAATGTTTTTTTTAAATACATAAGATAACATTTATTTCCCAATAAATAAACAAATAAATAAATAAACCTACTGCTGTCTACACTGTTATATGACCCAAACAATAAAATAAAAACAGAAAATCACTCACTGCTCTTGACTGAATAACTTCTGTAGCTTTAATAAGAAGACGTTACTTACTTGAATGCTGCTTTTAAATGCTCTAGCGTGAAGATAAACATGGTGGATGGTGTGCAGCTCACACTGCTTATGATTTATGGGGATTAAAAAAAATTAGTGGGAGAATTTTTGTCATTATAGGGTGGTTGTGTACACACTGCCAACACATATGTATGTTCAAACACCATGTAAAACTAAATTTTGCATAATAGGTGACCTTTAATATTGACAGTGGAGCAATGTTCTTGAGCGCCATGGGTGCATACACACTCTGTTTCATCTGTAACTCCCTGAAATTTTTTTCAAACAGCTTTTCAAGGCTTCTGATCATATTTTCACAGCTGCCACCTTATTTATATGACCTCAACTGAAATAAAATGCTTTCATTGCATGGAAACTTTTGCATTATTTTCTCTAAGATAAAACGTTTTACTTGTATCATTGTTCAATTGGTGAATTTTTGGGCAGAAAACATTTAAGTTTAAAGTCAGTTGATATTGCTTCTCTCTTTATAATCATACTGTATGTAGCCTTGAGCTGGTGTAGTTTGCCTTCTTTTTCCTGACTAAGATTAGGGGAAGTAGTCACTAATTTTTTTTTAATTTTTATAATTTAGCAGTCGTTTATCCAAAGCAACATACAGATGAGGTAATGATGCAATGACTTACAAATTTTATCTCTTAAAACTCTTCTTAGATAATCAAAATAACATTTAAACATAAATAACATACATAAAAAAAATTTATTTCAGTGAAAATAGTTTCTTCATGCCTTAAAATGGCTTGAATATAACTCTTCACCCTTATCTCATTTAGTATAGGCAAATTAATATGAAAATGCAAATTAGTCCCCGCCTCCATTTAGTCGCATCAGCTTGGACCTACTCCACTTGCACTCGGTTACCTAAAGTAATAAACGCTACACAATGGCAAGTGGCAATATTAGATTAATTCAGTCATATATGTTTGAACCAAAAACTGATTTCTTTAAAGACCACAGGGGGGCTTTAAAGAATCCTATACATGCATATAAACAAATTGAGTGGTTGTTAAATGAACCAAATATTTTTGTAATTGATTCAGATCAATTAAATTGTGTATCAAATCAAATTAAATCATTCTGAATGAGCAAAAAACACTTTTTGAATCAAATTGAAACCCAACACACATTGAAACCGCCCTACTTCTGGCTAACGTGATCTGATTATAGCATTTTCTTTTTACAAGAAAAGATCTATTTTGATTTAGGTTAACATCTTGGCTAGATTTTATCGCATTACACACAGTATTTTTTCTTCTAGTGTGGACAGACACCATCCTTGTAAAACACTATGCAGTGAATGCCTGATATCTAGATACAGTATCTAGATATATAGTCATGCAACTCAGACAGGCTATATTTTACGTAAATGAGGGTTTGAGAAGCACTTGCTTTACTTCAGGGTATAGCATGTTGTTTTCTATGCTATCTATGTAGGTAAAATTAATCTGTGTGCTGTAGAAGACAACATATGGGATGTGGGATTGTGGGCTGTAGCTCTGCTCAGTTTCTTTGTTTGCTCCTGCAGCCTGAGGTTATACAGACTGTATTAAAATTTACACGCTTGTTTTATTGGTACACGCAGGACGGTAAACAGTAAACAAGTCCCAACAAATGAAATGAAATCTGCCAGTCTCTTTCTAATTTTCTTTCTTCCCTCATTTCTTTCTCCATGCTTGTCTTATCTCTGCCTTTTTGCCGCAATAATATACTTTCCCGTCTCTTGCTTTTTCACCTCCCGTCTATCTGCAGATGTTTTTCTCATCTCTATGCTCTTTACTTTCCCTCGCTCTCTTTCTCTGTTCTCCTTTAATCTCGTTCTTTCTCTCTCTTTCTCAGACTCTGGATGATCTAGAGCAGAGGGTGAAGGAGGCAGGCATTGAGATCAGCGTGAGGCAAAGTTTCCTCACGGATCCTGCTGTGGCCGTCAAGAACCTCAAGGTGCTTTCACTTTTACTAATTTCGTTTATGACCTCACTGCCATGGCGGAGTACAGGTGTTGCTGTCAGTGCCGCTTTAGAGAATCGCACAATTCTCAGACAGATGCCAAACACACACTTAATATTTAGTAATATCATCAGTTTGATTGACACTATTGGATGAGAACAAAACAAAACTGAACTGAGCTAAATAATGGCACTATTGTCTTCCGCTTTATAGCTGAATCAAATTTGTTCAGAATTGATGAATATTGCAGCATTGATACTGTTATTGAACTGAACTGAATCAACATCGAATTTCCCCTACTGTCTTTATTAGAGCTGCTTATCATTGAATACAACTTTTTCAATAATAGATGAAATCTCACGAAAACACGTCCAAGATCACATTTCACCACAAAATCAGATGAATAAAACCAAAACAATTATATTAACGCATAATTAGGTCATAGTTTTTAAGCCTGTTTTTAAGATTGTGGCATTATTTGCATGACACACTTCCAGGTGTTTAAGTTTTATTTTTATTTTTTTATTATTCTGTAGTATTACAGTATCATTTTCCTCACGGTCTGTTTCTCGTGTTGTCACCTCTGATACAGCCAGTCTTTTCTCTGAGGCCTTCTCTTCTCTGTCTGAAAGTGTGTTAAAACTTCCTGACTCAGATCTTGGAATAGAAGAGATGATAACGCTTTTTAATAATGTCTGCTCTGTGTTTTAGATTCTTTGCTCCTTTTAAAGTTTCAAAACCCAAACGAAGGTCAGAACTTTGGATAAATAGTCATATACGAGTTCTCAGACAGGAATGTAGGAAAGCTGAGCGCAAATGGAAGAAAGACAAACTGCAAGTGTCTTATGAACTCTTGAAAAACACTCTTTCTGCTTACCAGCATTCTGTAAAAAATGCAAAAACTGAATATCTTTCTGAATTAATATCTAAAAATTCACACAATCCAAAAATTCTGTTTAATACATTAATAATTCTCCTGCTAACACTTCTGGTCTGGACAGTACTCCAGAGACCTGTGCAGCATTCCTACATTCTTTTATGGGAAAGGTGGACGCCATACGGTCTACTGTTACAATGTGCAGTCATGACCCCTCTGAACCACTCACTTGTCATGCTTTTTTTGAACGGTTTGAACCAATATCCCTTTCTGAGCTTGGCGATATAGTTCACAAGATTAAGCCTACCACTTCTCCTGTGGATGTTATCCCCACCCAGCTCTTTAGAGAGGTCCTGGATACTATCAGCCCTAGTGTACTGGCTATTATAAACAGACAGTGGCCATGTTCCTATATGCCTCAAACAAGCAGTGATCACGTCTCTTCTTAAGAAGCCAAATTTAGACACAACCAATCTTTAAAATTTCCACCCTATTTCTAAGTTGCCATTCTTGTCTAAAATGTTGGAGAAAATTGTTTTAAATCAGTTATCTTCCTTTGTCTCACAAAACGTCTCGGGTTACTTATGTAACCATGGTTCCCTGAGGGGAACGAGACACTGCGTCCTCTAGGGGTCGCTATGGGGAACGCCTCGTCGTGACCCGTGTCTGAAGCCTACATTGAAAAAACACCAACTTGTTTGGCCGGCGACAGCCATGACGTCACTACCGTCGCAACTAGTACAAAATAGGCGCCGGTAGCGCACATCATCACTTCTTCGTCTGAAGCTTGTGTCCGCAGCATGGCACAAAAGCTAGAGGACGCAGTGTCTCGTTCCCCTCAGGGAACCATGGTTACATAAGTAACCCGAGACGTTCCCTTTCGTGGAACTTCGAACTGCGTCCTCTAGGGGTCGCTATGGGGAACGGTATCCCCACGCCGCCATGCTGAGGGGAGTGCAAGCCAGAACCATGGCGAGC